CACGACTTTTGTGCCGAGAACATTTGCGCCGCGACCCTTGCGCCGCCATTATATAAAAAATCCGGATCCGAAAAAGGCCGGATATCCGAAATTTTCAGTTTGGATATCGGATCCGGATTTTCAACTATCCGACAACCCTACTAAAGTGAGGTCCGGCTGTAGTTATCTATATATTTTTAATGATAGTGGCGGCGCAAAAGTCGCGGCGCAAATTTTTTCGGCGCAAAAGTCACGGAACCAATACATTTACAAGCTGGTCAAATGCAAAAAAGATAATAAAAAACATTGGTTAAAAATTTTCATTTAAAGAATTAATAACAGGATTTGTGAAAGACCAATAAATAAATTTTAAAAATCGGAAAGCGAATTACAAAATTGACATTGACAATTTTTGATATTTACGAGAAAAAAGATAAATGCATAGTGTAGGATATCGTTATTTTTTCCAAATTGTTGAACGTCTGACGAACAATGCTTACTTTGGTTTGCTTAAAGCTTTGGAAGTGATTTACTTCTTAAATATTCCTCTCTAAGATAACTTCGGTACTTTTCCGTTTTGTTACACCCCCCTATATTAATGCTCAAAATGTCATATATAGGATAAGAAAAGGTGCTGAGTCGAACGGTACCCTTATTTTTTCCAGGAGATGCATGTGAACCGAGATATAGTGCTCGAAATGGTTAAAAACCATAGGGACATTTTTGGGTAAAAAATTCAAACATGAAAATAATAGCTCATTCCAGAGTGCTCGTTGAGTTGAGCTCTCTGGAATGAGCTACCACCCCCTCCCCTTCCCATCAGAGTTGCGTCGTAATTGAAAAATTTTTTTCGTAATCGTAATTCGTAATTTTCAAAAAAATTTCGGAATCGTAATTCGTAATTTTAAAAAAATTTTCGTAATCGTAATTCGTAATTGAAAAAATGCCGTAATTCGTAATTCGTAATCGTAATTCGTAATTTTTTAAAAATATTTAAATTAATTTAAAAAATCAAATATTTATTAATAATTGCTGCTGTTACCATTAATCTTTCCAAGTCACTTAATCCTAATGATAGAATTTACTAACCTAAAAATATAAATTTACTAACCTAAAAATATAAATTTACTAACCTAAAACCTATTGTTCTTTCCAAATATAATCAGAAATTTTCCAAATTTCATTTAAATCAAAATTAAAATATTTAGTATTAAGTATTTAGTGTAAGAAAGGGAAACCCATCTAACTGGAAGTTAATCGAGATCTCAAAATCCCAAAATTAACGGAAAACCGGGGTTAATTAACGTAAAATTACAATAATTAAAATTATAGGATTATCTTTATAAAAACAAATTTACACAGTTAAAAATTTTTATTTAAATTTTTATAATAATTCAAGCAACATTTTAAACAATTTCAATATCTAAAAACACATTTAAACAAAATTATATCCCTCTTCTCTATATTTTTGTAAAAGCAAACTATCCAGTGTTTGAGGGGTTGAAATTGGTTGTGAATAATTCTGTAAATTGTTTTTTAAATCAGGCAAAGCTTCATTCTTGTCTAAATTTGTAGGTAATGCAAAAATGTAATTACAAGGCTGAATTGGGTTCCAAGCTAAAAATAAATTTAAAAAATTTTTTTGATTTTTTTTGGGAATATTTTAATTAGTTTATAAGTGACCAGTTAAATTCTAGTGTATTAAACTTTCATATTTGACGATTGATTTTATCTGGAGTGCTCAACAGGGCGGAATCCCTTGCGATATTTTGCGGGATAGCGTCATTGAATCTCAAGTTTAAGACTATAGACGTTCTTATCGGGATTTAAGGTTAAGGGTGAACATTCATCGAGTTTCTAAAAATCTTTTATCGAAATACTGCGGAAATAAGCTATAATTAAATTTTTATTTTGTTAATAGTAAATAATCAATTTTGCTATTTTTAATAATTGCTTTTACAAATTTTGTTAAACTGGCTTTTGGCTCCTCTGCTAATCTTTTTTTGGAAGCCTGAACTATTGTTCAGGAAAAAATTCAAAAACTAAATTGCTTTAATCAGACTATGTTTATTTATTTTTATTGAGCCATAAGACTTTTACATCAAAAAATCTTACTATTTCTAAGTTCATTATTTTGTATAATTTCATTTTCTTCGTCTGTTGCAGGTAAATTTCGTAAAAATTTTCTAAATAAATTACTTTAATTTAATTATTTTATTTTAGACAACCTGTGTTTAGCACGACGATTTTTAAACCAAACCTAAAGGAAAATGAGAGTAATAGTTTAATTAGCCCCTTTTTTAAATTTAAGAATAAGGACAATTTTCTTGAACTTGCATAAACCAAATCAAGAGTTTGATAACTTTTTATAACTCAAGGTAAAATCGGGTGTACACTAGAGATGGGTCAGGATCCAGGCTGAATTTATTCCTGAATCCAGATCCAGAATTTTTGGAAAACCTATCTATAGTGTATATATCTATATCTTCGCTCTGCTCCCTTTAATTATTGCGACAATAAAAATTAGATAACGGCCTAGATCTTACTCCAGATCAGATAAATAAGCTAATTTTTTCAGAAATAATTTGAACTTAATAAAAAATTTAAATTAATTTTGCCAAGAAATACCTGAATTTTCGATTCAGGCAAATTTGTTAGTTTAGCCAATTTATCTCTAACACTAACATCTGGATATTGTTGATGTTCAAAACAATTTTCCAATTCCTAAAATTGAAAAAAATAATTTTAAAGCAGGTGTATTTATCTATAATCAGGATTAGATAAAGCTTGGTGATTTAAATAAGAGCTTATTTGAAAACAGCTTCTGAGCCTGCCCAATGATAATTGTTAAATAGTAGGCGCAGAAAAAGTTAGATTTATTTAAGGGGGATTAACAAAATCTCATTGGAACATGTTGATTACATGTTGATTACTTCGTTCTGAAGTTAAACTAAATTCAAGTATAATCATGGCAACTTGAGGCTACATTTTGAAAAATACACTTAGAAACAAACTATATCTAATACCTCCAATTGTGTATCTGTAAAAGCTGTTCTATTCCTCCTAGCAACCTTTCTTTTCTCATCGGCTTTTAAACTGTTTGGTGTTTGTAAGCCTTTTATTTGAAATTTTTCTTTTTGATTATCTTAATACAAATATTTTAATTACTTAAAAAAGTCAAAATTGTTAAGGAAACTTATGTAACATCTAAATCTTTCATTAAACCCTAGAAAATGAATTCCTAATGTTTCAGCTAACATAAAAAACTAAAGCAGGGATTCATGATATATAGGAGAGGGCAGGTAAATCCACCAATTGGCTTAATCGTTACAGCACAGGAAAAGTGATCTACACTCTGTACACATATTAATTAAATTAATAATCAAATATGTATATATCTAGCAATATTTTATGCTTATGCTTATGTTTGTTTGTGAAGACTTTATTTTTGGAAGACAAATGTTAACTTTGTCTAAATTGTGTTACTCAATTAATTAGGATGTTAGGTCTACATTTCGTTATTTTAATAAAATTAATTTTGAGATTAATTTGTGAGCTAATATATGAAACTAAAGCAGGGATTCGTGAAAAGGTCCACCCACTATAAATCCATCCACTAGCTTAGTCGTTATAGCACAGAAGTTATTTACACGTCTGTGCATCATATTAAACAAATTAATATTCGGATATACATATATCTAACAATATTCTATGCTTATGCATGGTCTGTTTGTTTGTGAAGGTCTTATTTTTGGAAGACAAATGTTTAACCTTGTCTAAAATTGTGTTACTCAATTAAGTATTATATTAGGCCTAAATTTCGTATTTTACAAAACTATAATTCCTAAGATCATAAATAACTCTTCTAAACAACTCAAAATAATAAAATTTTATTTTAAAAATTAAATTTTTAAAGAGAAACTGACTCTGGCCAGCAAATATAAGAGTTGGAGGAACAAATTTGGGCGAGATAATAGTAGTAGAAGTTGGGGGAAGGGTATTAGTTACTGAATTATTTAAATTTTCTGTATTTTTATTTTGTGGAATTTGTATTGAAGGCTGTTGAAATGAAGAAAAATTAAAAATTGAATTGTTCCCGAAAATGGTATTCATTAAAGAAGGATTGTTGTAGATATTTTGAAAATTTAATAAATTTTGTTGGGCACCGGGAATGTTGTTGTTAGCTATTGTTTTAGTTCCAAATTGATTCTGAATTTTTAATTTTATTAGAAGCTGAGAAAATGAAAAGCTGAGGAATATTAAAAGAAAAATGAAGCGGAAGAGATAATTATTATACATATTTATTGTTCTCATCTCTGTTGTTATGTTAACAAAATAAATTAAAGTTTGCTTAATAGCTATTTTTAATTTAAGCAATAGGTTTATATATTTTAATATTGAATAGAGCGTGGGTATTTTCTATTGCTTTGACTTCTTAATATTTTTGTATGCCATTTAAATTATTTTGGCAACTAAACTTCATGACTCTCAATACCTAAATCCTTCAGAAAGTCAAATTAAATCTTAACCAAAACCAACTAAAATTGTCATTTATTAGAGGTTTAGTTGAAAAAGCTTTGTGAAATGATGTGTTGATGATCTGAAACTTTTCTTCGGAGATAAATCTAGATTTAGGAATTTCTGTAAAATGTTGGAACCTCGATTGAAAACAAGGTAAAATTTAAAAATATAGGATTGACTCGTGGACATATCGGGACGGACTATCGGGATATTTCAATGTACGAACAGTTACCCTACTGAATTCGGGACCTACGGCCACTGGGTCTTGGATATTATATTGTCCGGAATAGAGTTATGTTTTAGAACAAACGTAAACACGCAAGAAATTATTTTTTACACCCCAATTCCGATATTGCGCCCCGATATGTCCGCACACCAGAGGATTTACTAAGAATTAAGGTGTAGAAATTGCTACTCTATAAGCAAATATAACGATAAGATTCATAATACATAAACTTACTTTAACATTAAAAAGCACTTTAGAAAATCAAAATATTATTTTAATTTACCTGTATAGAGTTAATTTCGTTCAAATTAAAGGGAAATATATTTGAAGAAGAACAAGGAGCATTAGTAGAAAGGCTGGCAGTTGATGCGATTACAGTATTTAAATTGTTTGGAATAGGGATTAATAAATCTGTGTTATTGTTTGCACATTTTGTGACTGCTATTGGTTCTTCAAACGAAAATGAAGGTAGTGGAGGGGTATTAAATTGTATAGATGAGTTTATGTTTTGCATTTTTTAAATTAAAAATACTTGTAAAATTAATTAAATTTATTTGGAAATTTTTTGTATTTCTAGAAAAATATTTAAAAGAAAAATAATTATAGTTAAAACATGAAAAAATATCAAAAAAATTAATTTAATTTTGTTTAATATATATTCTTGAGTTAAACAATGTTTTAAATATTCATAGTATCATAGAAGTAGAGCTGTCCGAGACCGAAATTTTTCCAAGACTCAAGACTCAAGACCCAAGACAAAATTTTTTCAAGACCAAGACTCAAGACTAAGACCAAAACTCCAAGACTCAAGACCAAAAATCAAGACCAAATTTTTAAATCCCATAGGTCAAATTTTTGGTTTATTTTTTGTTTTGATACGATCACAGTCAACTTCAGCACAATTATCTATAATTTCGAAAAATTTATGCGAAATTCAAAGAATTTCGGAGAATTTATTCGTGTGGAAAATCAATAAAATAGGTTATTATTTCAGAGGATTTGGGTGGATTAACGGGATCTTAGTGATATCAAAGGATTAAGAGGGATTGCCGTGGGATTTATTGAATTATGAGGGATGTCGTGGGATTTTACGTCTGGAACGCCAAAGTAAAGCCAAAATTTTGGCAATACCCAACGTTAGCCCCCCCCCCCATTCGAAATCGACCCCCTGGCTACGCCCTTGGATTAAGGATCTTTTTGCGCGCATGCGAAAATTTGTACAATTTTGGAAGGCCAAAAAGCCAGAATTATTCATTTTCCAGCGCCGCAGGCGAAAATTTTGAGAATTATGAAGGCCGAGAAGCCAAAAATCTTCCTTTTCCTGCGCCGCAGGCAAAAATTTTGAGAATTTTGGAAGGCCGTATGCCAAAAGAAATTCACTTTTTCAGCGCCGCAGGCGAAAATTTTTTGAATTTTGGGACTCAAGAAGCCAGATTTCTTCCATTTTCTGCGCCGCAGGCGAAAATTTTGAGGATTTTGGATGGCCAAGCACTAGGTCCAAAAAGGCCAAAAAACCAAGACCAAAAAATAAAACCAAGACAAGACCAAGACAAACACCCCAAGACCAAGACCAAGACCGAAAAAAACCAAGAAAAGTCTTGGTTCCAAGACCAAGACCAAGAGTCTCGGACAGCTCTACATAGAAGTATCAAGCAAATTTGTTCGACCGGTGTGCTTTAATTTTTTGGATGCCATTAAACATCATGGCAATTAAATGCAATAATTAAATTAAAGATTAATTAACTTGTGTTATGTCTCCGCTTACGTAGAGCAAGATAACAGAAAGTTTATCACACGTAGAAAATACAAGAAGATGAAGATTGGGTTAGAAAGACGGAATAAGACTGAGAGAGCGAACTAACTATTGACTGGCTTTTATACTAAACTCTTTATGAGCTGTCGCCCATACACAACCAGACCTGGTCATGGATATAGATACAGATAATATCAAAATGCCTGCGGATATCCGTCTGTATCCGCCGTAAATATCCGGATACGGATACAAAAATCAGTATCCGTGACCAGGTCTGTACACAACAACGTATTTGATTTGTTTTGGTGCGCGTTTGTTTTGGCATGCATGCTAAAAACTTAAACCTGGGCACAACCCAAATTTATTAAATTTTCTCTAAATTCCTTAACCTCCATGACTAACTTCTCTAGAAACTAAATTCGTATTTCTCTAATACGATTAAATTATTTTTGAATTAGTTGATTATTAATTACACAGCACTAGACCTTAACCAAACTCAAGATTCATGTTTAAGTTAGAGGTTTTTTTTAATTTCTGATCTCTATTTATCAGACTAAAATTATTAACTATATCAATCACTTAAATTACAGAAGAAATTAAAAAATTTTTCTTTAAGTTTATTGAAAATAAAATTTTTCTACTTTAATTTGTTGATTGAATGGAATTGAAACCCAGTAAATATACACTCCTTTTAAGAGTGCATTTAATTTATTAATTAATTATTATAGACAATCACAAGATTATTAATTTACATCCCCAATTGTTTGTCTTATGGCCTCATTGCCCTTTTAGCCTATTGAGGAAAAGAGACAGGAGATAAATCTTATTCTTATTTACCATTGGGATTGCCATTTGTGAAAGATTTAAATAGCGATAAACAAAAGTTGAATGATTATTTGTCGACATACGACGCGACATCCAAAAAATAATAAAGACAGACGTGGCCATCAAGGTAGGAAATAAAAATAAATATCTCAATTTAACTAAAAATAAATGTAATAAAATATAAGGAAATCTGCCGATATACACTCTGTTCTAAAATTATAACCGCACCCCTATTTTTCTCAATATTTCATGCCCCAATCAATTTTTCCAAAAATTTTTTTTTGATAATCATTTAGGGCCGAGGGATAAACAATATTTAATACTGAAATGGATTTTTTAATTTACAACCTTTGAATTAGAACTTCATTTCTTTTGTATTTTCTATCTATATTGGTAGGTATGTTCACACAAATTTTTGTAGATTTTTCCCAGTATTAGAAACCTATAATACAAAGGTGCTGTTACAATTTTGGAACACCTATATTTTAAAAAAAGTTAAATAATTCAACGTCCGTAAATTAAAAAATCCATCTCAGTTTTAAATATGGTTTATCCCTCGGCCCTATATGATAATTAAAACAATCTTTTAAAAAAATGACTTGAACATGAAATATTAAGAAAAATAAGGGTGCGGTTATAATTTTGGAACAGAGTGTACTATAATTTTATACACTAACAGTTCTTCATACCTTTTTACTTCTTATAAATACATTTACAAGCTGGTCAAATGCTAACAAAAGTTAATAATAAACAATGGCTAAAAATCTTCAGTTAAAGAATTAATAACAGGATTTGCGAAAGACCAATAAATAAATTTTAAAAATCGGAAAGTGAATTACAAAATTGCCTTTGACAATTTTGTAATATTTACGATAAAGAAGATAAAAGCTTAGTGTAGAATATCATTATTTTTTCCAAGTTGTTGAATGACTAACAAATTGTCTGCTTTAATTTGCTTAAAGCTTTGAAGGTGCTTAACTTCTTAAATACTAGGACGTCAACTATTGTTTTCTTTAACAATATTTACACTCTAAACCCCATTCTATAACACCTTTCATCAACAGACTTAAACACGCAAAAATCTAATTAATTAAAATTTTTATAATAATTCAACAACATTTTAAACAATTCTAATATAGAAAACATTTAAACAAATAGAGAAGAGGGATGTTCTTCTTTATATTAAAGTAAAATTAAGCTATCCAATGTTTGAGGAATTGCACTTGTTTGTGAATAATTCTGTAAATTATTTTTTAAATCAGGCAAAACAGAATTATTGCCAAAATTTGTAGGTAATGCAAAAATGTAATTACAAGGCTGAATTGGGTTCCAAGCTTAAAATTAATGAAAAAATAAGAAATTATTTTTTTTATTTTTCGGGAATATTTTAACTAGTGTTATTGGCGACCGGTTAAATAACGAGTGTCAATGAAACACCATATTTGACAATTAATTTTATCTGGAGTGCTCAATGGGACGTAATCCTATGTGATATTTTGCGGGATTGAGTGATTGAATCTCAACTTTTAGACTACAAACGTTCTTTTCAGGTTAAAGGCGATTTAAGGTTAAGGGTGAACACTCATTCAAGCTTCTAAAAATCTTTTATCGAAATACTGTGGAATAAGTTATAATTAAATTTTTATTTTGTTAATATTAAATAATAAATTTCGCTATTTTTAATAATTGCTTTTACAAATTTTGTTAAACTGGCTTTTGGCTCTTCTGCTTATCTTTTTTTGGAAGCCTAAACTATAGTTAGGCATAAATTTGCAAATTAAATTGCTTTAATCAGACTATGTTTATTTAATTAAGCCATAAGTCATTAAATCAAAAAATCTTACTTTTTCCAAGTTCATTATTTTGTATAACTTCATTTCCTTCGTCTGTTGCAGGCAAATTTCGTAAAAATTTTCTAATTAAATATTTTTTATTTAATTATTTTATTTTAGCCAACCTGTGCTTGGCACGACGATTTTTGAACCAAACCTGAAGTAAATAAAAGTAATAAATTAATTGGTCTATTTTTTAATTTTAAAAAATAAAGACATTGTTCATGTACTGAATTAAATCCAAAATCAAGATCAAGGCGATTTTCAGAGTTCGATCCTTTTTTAACTCAAGGTAAAATAGGGAGTACAATAGAGATCGGTATGGACCAGGCTGAATTAATTCCTGAATCCAGATCCAGAATATGATTCCAGGTCAGTAACCTAAATCTAGAGTTGGGCGGGATCGGGATCCCGACGTAAAATCGGGATCGGGATTTTGGAATGATGATCCCGATCCCGGTCCCGATCCCGACTCGGGATCGGGATTGAAAAATCGGGATCGGGATTTAGTTAAAAAAAATTTTCAAAATTTAAATTTTTATTTACATTGCATATACCTCAATATAATTCCATAATTTTCATCTGCTGTGCTGAAATATTGATTTTAAGTCCCAGCGCGCATTTGTTCTTGGCGTATCAGGGATTAAGGAGGAGGGATAAAGTATTAACGATAAGGTGATTCTGATGGATTAAGAGGGATATCGTTGATTAATGAGATATTGGGATCTAGATGGACATCTAGGATATCCATTATATCCGTTCAAATCCATTCCGTCGATAGTTTTATAAATGAGTCTCTTCTTATTAACCGCCGGAGGCAAAAATTTTGAAAAATTTCGAAGATTCTCAAGCCAAAATCTTCATTTTTAGCGCCGCAGGCGAAAATTTTGAAAATTTTGGATGGCGTAGAAGCCAAATTGCTTTCTTTTCAGCTCATTAATATATATTTTCATTAATTTATAAAATCCCGATTTCATCGGGATCCGATTGCTAATCCCGATCCCGGTCCCGATCCCGGCTCGGGATCGGGATCGGCCAAAACCGGGATCGGGATTTGTCTTTCGGGTTCGGGATCAGAAAAATCGGGATCGGGATTCAAAAAAACCGGGATAATCCCGCCCGATCCCGACCGGGATCCCGATCCCGCCCAACTCTACCTAAATCCATAGTCCAGATCCAGAATTTTTGAAAAACCTATCTATAGCGTTGATTGAAATTTATTATCAAACTTCTTTCGTTAATCTTTCTTTAAACAAAAATCTTAGTCAAATAAGCTAATTTTTTCAGAAATAATTTGAACTTAGATAAAATTTAAATTACTTTTTCTAAAAGAATACCTGAATTTTCGATTCAGGCAAATTTGTTAGTTTAGCCAATTTATCTCGAACGCTTACATCTGGGTATTGTTGATGTTCAAAACAATTTTCTAATTCCTAAAATTGAAAAAAATAATTTTAAAGCCCTTCATATTTATCAATAATCAGAATTAGATAAATCTGGTGATTTACATAAAAACATTTTTGAAAACTGAGCTCTCGAGTTTACCCAATGATAATTGTCAAATAATAGGTGCAGAAAAAAAGATTTATTTAAGGGGATTAACAAAATCTCAAAAATTAACAAAACAAACTAGCATGTTGCTTATTGCGTTCTGAAGTTAAACTAAATGTCAAGTAGTACAGGTGTTTCAGATAAAAAGCACTATTTGAAAATTCAATAACTTTTTCGTGTCCGGACAATGCGTCAGTGGACAATGCGTGAGTGGAAAATGCGTCAGTGGACAATCGGTCAGTATTGCTATAAAGTGATCAAAAGTGATGAAATAAAGAGATAAATAATGATATAAAAAGACTAAATATGGTATATAAACAGATTAAGAGTATTTCAAAAGAGATTTTGGTGTTTAAAAAAGATATAGAGGGATTTGTTGGGATTAAGGCTATATCTCGGGCTTGGGAGGATTAACAGAGATATTAAGTTATTTGGTTAGATTAAGATGGAGATCAGCCGATTTTGAGGAATACCAATAAATTTTTATCTCTTTATATGATCACTTTTAATCACTTTATATCAATACTGACCGATTGTCCACTGACGCATTTTCCACTCACGCATTGTCCACTGACGCATTGTCCGGGAGCCGTATAATCTGGGCAGCTTGAGGCTGCATTTTGAAAAATACACTTAGGAATAAATTATATCTAGTACCTCCAATTGTGAATCTGTAAAAGCTGTTCTATTCCTCCTAGCTACCTTTCTTCCTTCTTCTGTTTTTGATCTTTTTGTTGCCTGTAGGCCGCATATTTGAAATTTTTCTTTTTGATGAATTTTTGCATTATTGCCTAAAATAAAAGTATTCAGGCTTCCAAAAATAAAGCATCGAAGACTACAAGGATTAGTTTATCACACAAATCATAAAAGAATAATTAATAAAAATAGAAAATTAATAATTTAATATTATCAGACCGAGGCTGGAAAAGCGAGATCGAGGTCGAGGGCCGACTCACTGGCTTAGTCGTAATAACACAGGAAAGTGATTTACACTTTTGTGCAACATATTAAACAAAGTAAACTCGAATATAGATATATCTAACAATATTCTCTGCTTATGCGTGTTCCTGTTTGTTTTTGGAAGACTTTATTTTTGGAAGACAAATATTAAACTTTGTCTAAATTGTGTTACTCAATTAACTAGGATGTTAGGTCTAAATTTCGTTATTTTAAAAATTAATTTTGAGGTTAATTCATGAGCTAATATATGAAACTAAAGCAGGGATTCGTGATATATATAAGAGGTACACCCACTATAAATCGACCCACAAGCTTAGTCGTTATAGCACAGAAGTTATTTACACGTCTGTGCATCATATTAAACAAATTAATATTTGGATATACATATATCTAACAATATTTTATGCTTATGTTTGTTTGTGAAGACTTTATTTTTGGAAGACAATTATTGAACTTTGTCTAAAATTGTGTTACTCAATTGAGTATGATAATAGGCAGAAATTTCGTTATTTTAACAAAAGTAATTTTGAGATTAATTCACAGCTAATATATGAAGCTAAAGCAGGGATTCGTGATCAGTGATGCGAGAGTCATATTTTGTCATATTTTAAAAAAAAAATGAATTTTATGTGCTTTGTCTTCCGACATTAACAAAATTTCAGCCTGCTACGCAAAAAAAAAGATTTTTGGCTTAAGGATCTTCGAAAATTTTCATATTTCCGCCTGCGGCGCAAAAACTAATCCACACCAAAAAATAAATCTTAATCCACCTCAAACCCCGCTTAATCCATTAAATCTTCTTAATCCTCTTATATCACTCGATATCCCCCATAATCTAAACTAATCTCCCAATGAAAAATAATTCTAGTAACACGAGTATTTAGCCTGGCTATTATATTATGTGCTATTATATTATTAAATTTTTCATTGAAATAGCTAAAAAATATTGTCACTGGAACCGGTTCTGGAACCGTTTCCAGAACTGGACGTCAGAATTAAAAAAAGCAGTTCCGGAACTGGAACTGGAACCGCCAAAATTTTGGAACTTCCGATATATAGAAGAGGTCCACCCACTATAAATCCACCCACTAGCTTAGTCGTTATAACACAGAAGAAGTGTTTTACACTTTTGTGCAACATATTTTACAAATTAAACTCGAATATACATATATCTAACAAAATTCTAAGCTTATGCGTGTTTTTGGTTGGTGAAGATTTTATTTTTGGAAGACAAATATTGAACTTTGTCTAAAATTGTGTTACTCAATTGAGTAGGATAATAGGCAGAAATTTTGTTATTTTAACAAAATTAATTTTGAGATTAATTCATGAGCCAATATGTATATGAAACTAAAGCAGGGATTCGTGATCAGTGATGCGAGAGTCATATTTTGTCATATTTTTAAAAAAATGAATTTTATGTGCTTTGTCTTCCGACATTTTCAAAATTTCAGCCTGCGACGCAAAAAAAGAAGATTTTTGGCTTAAGGATCTTCGAAAATTTTCATATTTCCGCCTGCGGCGCAAAAACTAATCCACACCAAAAAATAAATCTTAATCCACCTCAAACCCCGCTTAATCAATTAAATCTTCTTAATCCTCTTATATCACTCGATATCCCCCATAATCTAAACTAATCTCACAATGAAAAATAATTCTAGTAACACGAGAATTTAGCCTGGCTATTATATTATGTGCTATTATATTATTAAATTTTTCATTGAAATAGCTAAAAAATATTCTCACTTGAACCGGTTCTGGAACCGGTTCCATAACTGGAACCGCCAGAATTAAAAAAAGCAGTTCCGGAACTGGAACTGGAACCGCCAAAATTTTGGAACTTCCGCATCACTGTTCGTGATATATAGGAGAGGTCCACACACTATAAATCCACTCACTAGCTTAATTGTTGTGGCACAGAAGTTATTTACACTTTTGTGCAACATATTAACTAAATTAATAATCAAATATACATATATCTATCAATATTTTATGCGTATGCTTGTTGTTTATTGCGGGTGACTATTTATTTTTGGAAAACAATGTTAACTTTGTCTAAAATTGGCCAAAATTTTGTTAACAAAACTTTTTATAATTCCTAAGATCACAAAATCTCTCTCAAACAACACAGAATAATAAAATTTAATTTTAAAAATTAGATTTTCAAAGTAACTGACTCTGGCCAGCAAATATAAGAGTTGGAGGAAGAAATTTGGGCGAAATAATAGTTGTAGAAGTTGGGGGAAGGGTAATAATTTCTGAATTAGCTAAAATTTCTGTATTTTTATTTTGTGGAATTTGTATTGAAGGCTGTTGAAATGAAGGAAAATTAAAAATTGAATTGCTTCCAAAAATGATATTCATTAAAGAAGGATTGTTGTAGATGTTTTGAATGTTTAATAAATTTTGTTGGGCACCGGAAATGTTGTTGTTAGCTATTGTTTTGCTTCCAAATTGATTCTGAAATTTTAATTTTATTAGAAGCTGAGAAAATGAAAAGCTGAGGAATATTAAAAGAAAAATGAAGCGGAAGAGATAATTATTATACATATTTATTGTTCTCATCTCTGTTGTTATGAAAACAAAATAAATTAAAGTTTGCTTAATAGCTATTTTTAATTTTACCAATACTTATATATAATTAAATAATAAATAAAATGTGTGTAAAGGCGACGTGTTGAAAGTGCTTAATATTTTTGTATGCCATTAAATTATTTTGGCAACTAAACTTCATGACTCTCCATGCTTTGTGTATATTTCTAAACCTTTTAAAAAGTCTAAGCAAATCTCAAATATTACGATGACCTAAAACTCTTATAAATCCGTATAAATGTGTTGATGTCTGCAACTTTCCTTCGGAGATAAATCTGGATTTAGGAATTTCAGTAAAATGTTGGAACTGCGATTGAAATTAGGGTTAAATTTAAAAATATAGGATTTATTAAGAATCTAAGTGTAGAAATTACTCTCTATAAGCAAATATACCGATAAGATACATTATACATAAACCTACTTTCACATTAAAAAGGACTTTAAAAATAAAATATTATTTTTAATTTACCTGTATAGAGTTAATTTCGTTCAAATTAAAGGGAAATATATTTGAAGAAGAACAAGAAGGAATGTTGGCAGTTGATGCGATTACAGTATTTAAATTGTTTGGAATAGGGATTAATAAATCTGTGTTGTTGTTTGCACATTCTGTGACTGCTATTGGTTCTTCAAACGAAAATGAAGGTAGTGGAGGGGGATTAAATTGTATAGATGAGTTTATGTTTTGCATTTTTTAAATTAAAAATACTTGTAAAATTAATTAAATTTATTTGGAAATTTTTTGTATTTCTAGAAAAATATTTAAAAGAAAAATAATTATAGTTAAAACATGAAAAAATATCAAAAAATAAATTAAATAATTTTTCATATTTAATTTAATTTTGTTTAATATATATTCCTAAGTTAAACAATGTTTTATTATTCATAGTAGTAGTAATAAGCAAGCTGGCTGGTACTGCGCCTTCTCTAATTTTTTGGATGCCATATTAAACATATTGGCAATTAAAGCAATAATTAGTTTAAAGAATAATTAACTTATGTTACGTCCCCGTTTACGTAGAGCAAGATAACAGAACGTTTATCACACGTAGAAAATACAAGAAGATGAAGATTGGAGTAGGAAAACGGAATAAGACTGCGAGAGCGAACTAAACATTGATTAACTCTTTATGAGTTGTCACCCATACACAACAACGTGTTTGATCTGTTTTGGTGCGGGTTCGTTTTGGCAAGCATGCTAAAAACCTAAACCTAGGCACAACCCAAATTCATTAAATTTCTAAATTCCTTAACCTCCATGACAAACTTCTCTAGAAATTAAATTCGTATTTCTTTAATACGATTAAATTATTTTTGAATTAGTTAATTATTTATTATACACAGACTGGCCCTCAACCGAACTCAAGATTCGTGTTCAAGTTAAAGGTTTTTTAAATTTCTGTATCTATTTATCAGATTAAAATTATTAACTGTATCAATCACAAAAATGAATTAAAAAAAATTAAAATTTTTCTACTTTAATTTATTAAATGAAGAGCATTGAAACCCAGTAAATATACATTCCTTTTAAGAGTGCATTTACTTTATTTATTAATTATTGTAGACAATCATAAGATTATTAATTTACATCCCCAATTGTCTTATGGCCTCATTGCCCTTTTAGCCTATTGAGGAAAGGAGACAGGAGAAGGGGAAGAAAGAGATTGAGAGGAGTGGCTGACTGGAAAGAAAAAAGAGTCTGAAGTCAAATGAAAGGGGAAAGAGGAAGGGAAAAGAGGGAGGAAACTGAAGATTTGGGAAGGATTTGAGGGGGAAGGAGGTTGAGGGAAGGAGGAAGGAGACAGGGAGAGGGAGAGAAGGAGGTAAAGAGAAAGACATAGGGGAGAGGAAGAGAGTGAAGGTGATTTTAGACTTAAACAATCACTACAAGAAAGTAAAGGAAAAAAAGGGATTGTTTCTCCGATTATAGGGAAAGAAAAAGGTAATATAGGGCCAATTGAGAGGCAGTAATAAATTGAGAGGGAATAATAAATTGAGAGGAGGAATGAATGTGGGGAAGACGATTAAGTAAGTGAATGTATGTATTTGCGCAGCAGTCTTGCCGCCCACCCAAAAATTTTATAAAGGCATTTTAGACAAAAAATAATGTCTAAGAAAAAATATTATTTGTTATGATTAAAGGCACGCGGAAAGTACAAGTTGTCATTAATTATTTTGACTGTAAAAAAAGAGTTTTATTAAAGCGGTAATTTCAAAATAAAAAATGACGAATTTTTATAAAATTATTAATGACGAATTTATTATTTTAATGTTGATTTTATATAATAAAATTATAGATAAGGACACAAGAAGATAGTTTCAATAAATATTTTTCTCTAATTAACTGGTTAGTTGATGAACCCGAACTGGGATATCACGAAAAATAGGCTTTGATAATCGAGAATTTTGTTTGAGATCTCGGTAAGGGCAAAAAGTAGATCATAAAGGAAAAAAGGAAGACCCAAACAAAGGTTACAAATGGAAGGACAGAGATTTGAAGTAATGCCATTCGAGTCTAAATTTTTATATGTAATTTAAACATTCTATTTAAAAGCAAAAGTACTACCCAATTCCAAAGGCATTCTAGTGCCACAAACTGCCATAATCACTAAACAGAACGTCTTGGGTTATAAATCTCCAAATCTCAATGGAACTTAAACCTAATACATCCACAAAAAATACTGCCTCCTGTTGAACATGCTGAGACATTTTTCTCCAATAGGCCTTAAGATTGTGCTGTCTAATTTAAAAATCCTTTAAAAAATTCCTCATTAAGCTTTATTTTCTATAACTTTTTCAATTATTTATATTCTCGAAAAATTATTTTTACAAAAGAACATTATTTGTTAAAAATTAAAAAAAGAGGGATAGCCGCTCGTCTCTCCTTTCCATCGGTCACTTCCGGCTAATGTTCTCTCTACTATAAAGAAATACAATATTTGCCTCAAATAAATACTTGTAATTCTCTGATTTGTATATATGCGCAATCCTCTTATATTATTTAAACATTTGTTGTCTTCCAAAAAAGATTTTTGTATTTATTTTTGGTTTATTTGATGAGTATATGTATTTAATGATTGACAAGTAAGAACCTTGTTAAATATACAATGGCTAAATGATTTTGGAAAAATAAAATTGTACTATTTAAATTTATTTGAGAATATTACTGTAATTTTAGAAATTTAAAAATAGGCTTTTAGGGGTGTTTGAATTCCTTGCACAAAAAGGGCAAAATGCAAGAGGGGCAGCCTATTTTATTAAATTTTTGAACCGAAAATTTCTGAAAATTAGTGCTTATTTAAAATTCCTCCAAAATTAAACTGGTATTTGACTAATGTCGAAGCTGAAAACAAGGTTTTCAAAAAATGCTTAACCGAAAAGTTGATTAACAATTTGGGGGATTAATAGGGATATCGAGGGATACCAAGGAAGTTGGAAGGATTAATAAGAGTAGAAGTTAAGAAAATATCATCTTCTTCCTATCCTGCTAATTACTCCTTTTTTCGTTTGCAGGAGATTTCACAATTATGTGACATCGTGGGATCAAGTGAGATATCGTTGTAAGTGATATCTGGTCATATCAGTGGATTTTATTTGAGTAAAGTTGATAACAGAGGATTGAGGTGACAATTTGGCGATTTAGAGTGAGTAAGAAGGGATATTGTCGGATCAGGGAAAAGTACGAAGAATATCGGGACCATCAAGTCACAAGATTTACATTTTCAGCGCCTAGGCGAAAATTTTAGAAAAGTTGGAAGGTCAATAAGCCTGATCTCCTCAATTTATATTATTACATATCAATTTATCAAAGAAAAAATAAAATTTTTAATACAATTACTATTTAATTTTTCATGCATTTGCAGGCAAAACCTTAATTGTTGTTTGACCAATTTGTATTACTTTAGATGTTTCTGTCGTTGACCCGATAATTTTCTTATGAATTTTTTCTGGAAGTATTGTTCGAATTAATTTAATTCTGAATGATTGACTGGCCCAAAGTAACAGAAAACTGGGTAAAACAACGACTCCGAGATCCATAACAATTGTGTAGATACTGCCAAGAAATGACATAATTGAAACAATTTTCCAATAGTTAGAGGCATATATAGCTATCTAAATTAGAATATTCAAATATAAATTTTTAAAGATATAGTTATAAGTGATTGAATAATCTTAGTCTATGAACATTTTTTGGAAACCCTTTGTAATGTATAGGCCCTTTAACGTTTTAACATAAAAATTTTATTAAAATGCCAGTCAGAGTGTTTGCATGGGTTACCTTAACCATCGCTTCTTTTCTTTAACAATTTTACAATACAATTTTGTATTTTTCGCTTCATCAAAGGCCTGGACATACCTGAAGCTTAATCCTAAAAAGATACGTTCTCGGACCTTTTTGTAATTCAGTTGTGAAACCGTAATTACTCGTAAAGCGGTAAACTAAAAGCAAATTCGAAATTTCAAATGTCAACTACTGCCATTATGGATCATTCGATAATCTCATATATTTCTCATATATTTTTAATCCACTAATATAATTAACAATTTATGAGAGGATTTAATAATAATGTTAACACATTAATTAACAATTTTAAAGAATAATAAGCTAGAAAAACACTTACAACAATAATTGCTATAAACATTTGACCAAACGAAGTAAACAGTGCAAAAAACATAAATTTACGCTCAATTTTATCTTTAGATTTATTTCCATTAGCAGGCAGATTAACTACACCAGCTTTAGTATTTACTCTCTTTTTGTAAGCAAAAATGGTCATTAAATTAATTATAATGAAAGCAAACAGAAAGAAAATTGATTCAATTGTACTTAATTGAATGTAGAAATTGAGCCTTCCTTCCTTTAAAAAATTTTTTTAAAAATAAAGTTGACCTCATCCTAATGGTTGCCATTTTAAAATATCTGGGAACCAGGAAGTCCGATGAACCGGAAAGGATTAGGTTCGGCTCTTAGGCTCAGTTCTGATATACGATGATTTCTCAGTAGTGAGGTTAATGGTTCCTTAAAATCTCCTAATATCTGAGATCGAAACCGATATCAGAACCAGAAATTTAGGGTAAACGGTAGCTAAATATATAGCATTTTAAGCATCCGCTCTGTAATGAGATCTTACTTTAATACCATATTTATTATCACAGAACCATTTTAACTCTATTTTTCAATATGTTTAGAAACCAGTTTATACGTAGACAGTGGTTTTATTATCAAAAATACGGTCAATTAATCATTAATTAAAATCTACTTGTTTAGCTTCAATAACATCAATGGAAATAATACTTTCATTCTTTTCATCTTTTTGTATTAAATAAGTGTAATTTATATTAATTAATCCAATGCAATTCAGCGGTATAGCGAAACAAATTACACAAACAATCAAAAGTATTTTATTCCATAACTAAGATAATTTTAATTAAAAATTTGTTAACTAGGAAGTAGATACATATTTAATATTACATCAAGTCTCAAGAACTTTATTTCTTTGTTTTCTGATATTAAAAACTAGAATATGATTATATAATCAGCTCTTTTTATTAAAAATATTTTTTATACTTAAAGTTATATCAGATTCTCTTAATCATATACTAAGGCTGATGTGGTTGTAAGCTTAGAGGTGACGATAAAGCACATTGCTCCACCCTTGACCTTTTAAAATATTCAAAAAATAAAGTAAACGACATATCGTAATTTACTAAACTATAGCTACATATCTGAACAAGTTAGTTCTCTCATTTATTTAACATTACCACAAATTACCTAATTTGATTCTAATAAAACTACCATTTTTTAATTATACGATTTAGCCTATAATTTTTTATATAAACACAGGCTTTGCTAAAAATAGCAAAAAAATTTCCGTTTTTAAAACTTGACGTAAACAAATAATAATTATCTGGTTATTTTAATAAAATTTTTTCTAACTTACAATTTGGTGTTTTAACGGCAATGCAATAGCTGTAAATCTGTTTAGCATTACACAAACTGTTGCCAAGTTATCGGCAAGAAGTGAAAAGTTTACCAGGAAAATAAACACTGATAAAGTCCAGTCTGGATGTGGATTAGCAGAGAACCAATATGGAAACAAATTTGGAAGGCGAAAGCCGTAGTACGAGTCGAAGACATATACAAGGCCCTAAAATCGGCTCTCGTTTAGTTTATTTGACAAATCAAGCTTTATAAGTCTGTAAAGTTTGTGAGCCAGAAACAATCCTTCTAACATACCAAAACCAAAAGCATCACTGACAAAAACAATCTACTGTCAGCATGCTTGGACTATTAAATAATGAATGGACATATAAAACATAAGTTGACTATTATGCTAAACCAGGGGCCTTTTCTACCCTCTACAGATTCCTTGGCACAGGATCCACGGAAACGCAGAAAATTTACAGAAATAAAAATTCTGTGGTTTTGTGGTAGAATCTGCGGACACCACAGAATCTGTGGCTACAGAATTTCAGAGAAATAGAAAACTTTCAATGAATTTGAAATTTGATTATAGAAACAAAAAATAAAATTTACAAAAATTGCTCTAACACTGAAGAGTGTGTAAAATGAATTGTGAAGGGTTTTGTTACAAATGATTGTCCAAACCTCCAAAATATAAACAATAACTGATGGTATACTTAAACAAATTGAGAAATATAGGAAAAAATCTTTTAGAGAAAACATTGTATCTAGAAAAAAATAAAATGAGAATAAAATTAAATTATAAAATAATATAAAATTAATTAAAAATTACAGAAATCATACAAAAGGGCGCTTGGCTAGTTAAAGCTCCCATAAAGTTTTATCTTGAATTTTATCTTGGTTTGAAATACATATGGGATTTCATAATTTACGTTTTTTGAGTTTGAATTTGCTTTAATAAGGATCCGATATATAAGGATATATAAAAATCAGGGCCGCATTTCACTTTTTATTCTTAGATTTCGCTCAGCCCTGATATCCGATAGCTGAAGATCTGATAGCCGAACAGAAAATTACGGACCTAATCCTCCAAATCTAGTCCCATGACAATAGGTCTCATGAACTTAAAACTTTATGTAACTCAAATCTATCATTTAACCCCCAAAATAAATCCACTACAAACTTTCTGACCATAAATATTTATGGAATGGATCCTTTTGTGTATCCATTTGAAGTTCGCTTTTTAAAATCTGTTTAGGCACACCCATGATAGACGTAGGAAAAAACCAAAAATATTTTCTAAATAATTTTAACGCGGCTATTTAATAAATTTTCTTAAAAAGAAATAAAATTATGCAAAGTTTCTATTTTTAACAAAAATTTGAAATAAAATAATTTAATAACGGAGGCGGAGATTATAAAATTAAATATAAAATTAATTATTTTTTATAAAATTAGTCGAAGCATTTTAATTTCTTAAAAAATAAATTAATATTTTATGGGGTGTGTTAGGAAATTATATACCCCCCCTCCCATCCCTTGAATTTTTTAAGCTTCTCTATGTTCGAGTTATCGGATTGTTCTGAAAATTTTGTAGGTGATTAATAATAATATTGGGCACATATCCGAAAGATTTAAAAAAAAAATTTTCACCCTCGATCGGTGTCTGATTTTTTTCAAAAATTAAATATTATAACCCTCCTTATTAAAATTTTTTTAAAACATGAATTCAAGCAGTAGGAAAATCTTTAAAAATCTTTTATTTTCACCAAAATTTAAATTTTATTGAAACAAAAATATTTGAAGAAAAAATATTTTTAATTGTAATTATTTCAAATAAACTAAAAATAAATAATTTGTTTAATTGTATTTGGAAAATGTTTAATAAAATTTAAATAACCATTATAGTCACGAAATAAATTTTTTAATTTATTTTTGTTTTCCGTTATTGTTAATCATTTAATTTTAAAAAACAATAAAATATTTTATTCAAAAATTTATATTTAAAAACATGAAAAATTTGAGTTAAATTTGGTCGCTTAATGTTTTTATTGAAGCTTGCTGTATATGTAAATTTAAAGAAGTATGACGTCTATTGTATTTTGCAGCAAATTTTATGGAAATTTTTTAATACAGGGTGCGGAAAATAAACATAAACATAAACATAAACATAAACATAAACATAAACATAAACATAAACATAAACATAAACATAAACATAAACATAAACATAAACATAAACATAAACATAAACATAAACATAAACATAAACATAAACATAAACATAAACATAAACATAAACATAAACATAAACATAAACATAAACATAAACATAAACATAAACATAAACATAAACATAAACATAAACATAAACATAAACATAAACATAAACATAAACATAAACATAAACATAAACATAAACATAAACATAAACATAAACATAAACATAAACATAAACATAAACATAAACATAAACATAAACATAAACATAAACATAAACATAAACATAAACATAAACATAAACATAAACATAAACATAAACATAAACATAAACATAAACATAAACATAAACATAAACATAAACATAAACATAAACATAAACATAAACATAAACATAAACATAAACATAAACATAAACATAAACATAAACATAAACATAAACATAAACATAAACATAAACATAAACATAAACATAAACATAAACATAAACATAAACATAAACATAAACATAAACATAAACATAAACATAAACATAAACATAAACATAAACATAAACATAAACATAAACATAAACATAAACATAAACATAAACATAAACATAAACATAAACATAAACATAAACATAAACATAAACATAAACATAAACATAAACATAAACATAAACATAAACATAAACATAAACATAAACATAAACATAAACATAAACATAAACATAATTAAAATTCATTAAATTTTTTATCGATTATGGAAATTTTTTTAATTTCTAAGCATAAAATTGAAATATTCTATGCTATTCTTCATAGTTAAAAATAATTGCATATTTGTTTAACTGCTAAAACTAAATTTAATTTAATTCAAGTTAATTCTAGAATTTTAAGTTTTTTAACTGTTGAAACGTGTAGATCTCTCTTATCTTTCTTTCCTTTCTATAATAAATTAAAAATCTTTAAATAATTCTCCCTCAAATATTCAATTTGTAATAAAACTTTGAAGTATTAATTGAATAAAATTGCATTATCTATTGCCAACTAACAAGTTTCAAGCGATATATTATACTTAATTTTCAAACAAAGTTCAATCTCAATTAAACGCGGAAGCTTCTACCAAGTTTTATTTTATTTGTGCAGCTGGAATTTTTAAGAATATCTTTCCGAATAAATAGGGGGATGGGAGACAGATTTTTATTACAACCCAAAGTGAATAATGCTTCTTCGTTTCAACTTCTTCCTGTTGGCAGCTCTATGCCTCGCATTCAATGGAATCTATGGATGGGTAAAAAATTTATTTTGGCTAATTTAGTAAAAAATTTTTGAATTTATTGAATATCGGGATATCAATTTGAAAATAAAAGCTGCTTATTCTATTACTGATTTCGTTTAAAATTTCCAAAACTACGCTTAGTGTGTGTACTTGGACTTTAACTGAGTTTAAGAAGATCTCTACCAATTCTGTTATATCTCAGCGTATAGCAAAGCCTAAACGGATTTAATTCAATTATAATTTTAATTTGATTAGGACTTAAATTCACAATATTAAAAAATAAAAGAAAATTTTTAGTATTTCCAGGGAGATGATTTCTTCAATAATGAAGGAGGTGTAGTTAATCTTGACCAATTCGAAGCAAATGACAAAATAGAGAATTGGAAAAGAAGAAGGGTGAAGAAAAAAATAAGGATAATTCCATGAAGCGGGAAGAGTTTAACAAAGGTAATTAATAAAATAATTTTTTTGAAAGTTTCGTTTAAAATATTCAAAAAAATATTAGATGGTTCTCATGTTATTGGAGAGAAAGTTAACAAGGAATCTGATAAAAAAATGGAAGAAGTCAAAATGAGTGAAAGTAAAAAAAGCATACGCGGATCAAAACTCGCGGCTATGAAAAATCCAAAGAGCAGCGAGAGTCATGGTAAGGAAATTAATCAAGTATAAACAGAGATCAGACCTGAGGATTGATATAAGTGAGATCTAGAGTAATCTCGAAAACTTAGATTTTTTAGGTTGAGCCTCTCTGTTCGGTTTCAAATTCTCTCAGATAGAATTTATTAAAATTTATTATTAGAACATCATGAGCCTCATCCTGAAGAACGCCCATGTTCTGACAAGCCTTCTGTTCCTTCGAAAGAGAAGCCTATTCCAGAACGTAATTGAATTTTCAATATATTTTTTAAAATTTAAATTCTATAGAACCAAGACGTCGTACTTTGACCCCAGAGCTTCCTTTAGATGGGCCAAGTGGAGAAAAGCCGCTTCCAAAACGTAATATTTAATTTAAAAGTTGATAAGTAGTAAGATAAGTTTAATATTTTAGGGGGTCTTGGAGATGAGTATTTGTTTTTATAAACAAAATTATCTTGTATGTGAATACCACGTTTCCAGAATAAGGCCTCATGGTGTTTTATTTTTTAATTATTGCCAAAGTGGGCTCTATTTAATATGGCTGGCTCAGGTTGAAAATGGATAACATGCATTGACTATTCAAAGCTAATCATCTACTATTCAAACAGATTTTCATTTGTGTAGCCTTGTGATTTCATTCTTTACCACCTCTAATATAAAGATGTTTAACGTCTTAGAAAATTTTTTAAACTTATTTTAGGACCAGAGTTTCCATCAGATGCCCCATCGTCCCAGAAGCCTCATCTTCCTCATCCTGTTAATCATAAAGATCCAAGACATCGTACTTTGACGCCAGAGCTTCCTTTAGATGGGCCAATTGAAGAAAAGCTGCTTCCAAAACGTAATATTTAATTTAAAAGTTGATATATTCAAGGATAAGTTTAATATTGAAGAGTCTTGGAGATGAAAAATAAGCTATTTATAAACAAAATTATTGGTGTATGTTTATACCGTATTCCTAAATAAGGCCGCTTTATTGTTAAATTCTTGTCAAAATACGACTTAATAATTATCTTTAAAATAATTTTAGGACCAGAGTTTCCATCAGATGCCCCATCATCTCAGAAGCCTCCTCTTCCAGCTCCAGTTGATAACAAATACCCAAATGTACCTGATGAGATTGATGAAGAAGACAGTACATCTCAAAAGCCTCTTCCACCTCCAATTGATAATAAATACTCAACCGGACATGAAGATATAGAGGATGCTCCATCGTCCAAAAAGCCTCTCCCAGCTCCAATTAATAATAAATACCCAGCAGGCCCTAAAGAAGTTGAAGATGCTCCGTCGTCCAAAAAGCCTCTTCCAGCTCCAATTGATAACAAATATCCATCTGGACCAAAGATAGAAGAAGCTTCAAGTGTGCCTCCACCACCTGCCAAGGGAAAGAAATGCAACTTATGGCAGAAGATTAAGAAGTTGGCTGGAAGAAAAGTTAACTGTTACTAAATCCAAAGGAAGTAATGAAAGAATGAACTAAAAATAAAGAAATTTCATAAATAATGGGAAAGATAAATGTATTTAAATTGATATTAATTTTAAACTTAAAGAGCAATTAATAAAATTTTTGGGAAAATTGAACAAGGATATTAAGTAAAAGTTAAGTTTGGAGTTATGAAGCTTCTCAAAGATAGCTAAAGAAGCTAGACAAATTAAAAAAAACGTTTTGCCATGTATGATCGATACCGATCAAACAACCCCTGGAAATCTCAGAATTTATTTCTAATAAAAAAAATTTTATTTTAGAAATTTGTTTTAATTGTATAAACCACAGCGAATCATCAGAGTTATAATAAAATCAAAAATCAAGTAAAAAATGAAATAATATTTTAGGGTATACTAAATTATGAAAATGATATACTAGAAAATTCTTTTGGATTTTGATGTTGGAAATTTTAATATTTACTCAAATTATCATGTATATTTATTTTTGAATAGAGTCAATCTCTCTTGAAATTTAATAATAATCTTCAGTTGATTATTAGCTTTAATCCCACGTGTATTAATTTTTATATTGATGTAAATTTCTATTTTAAAATTTCAAAATTAATCTCTAGCTGGTTTACCTTGTCATGTAATAATCAAAAAATAAATATAAAAAAATTATAAAAAATTAAAATTCATTGCGTCAAACTCAATCCCAACATTAAATTATAAAATAATACAACTCCCAAAAAATCGCTGGCAAATTTTTTATTTAAAATTTATTTGAACAGCTTGAAATTTTAAATAATTTCTTTGAATAAATAGGGGGATGGAAGAAGCAATATTCAGAATATTTTATTGTTTTAATAATGTTTATTCGTTTTGACTTTGTCTTCTTGGCAACGTTGTGCCTTGCATCCAGTGGAATCTTTGGATGGGTAAAAATCGTTTTTTTCAAAAATATAATCAAAATTTAATGAAAATAAATTTATCAGAGGTATAAAATCATATTTCACCTTTAAAAATTCCCTATGAGCTTAAATAACCTAGGGCCTACCTCCACCCAGCGACCACGCAAATTTTAGAATATATTTTAAATAGAGGGGTATCTAGTATCTGGTTTATCGTATATAAAGGTAAGATTGTATAAGACCATTATCTGATACCTCATAACTTATAAATAGGTCTGATATTAGTGTATAGTATAATTTTTTAACTCATAGTTTATTAATCGTTTAAAATATTCACTCTACTCTTAACATTAATAAATTGAAATATTAACAGGATTTGGAAGGATTTGACGTTTTTGATGCTAATGAGAAGGATTCGATCAAGGAAAACAAGCGTGGCGGTCAAAAGAAAACAGAAAATGCGAAAAATTTTGATGCTTATAACAAAGGTATTTGAACATTGAATCGAAACCGATCGAAATTTTCTTTTGAAAATACACCCGTCCTTGATTTCAACTCTGATAATATTAAGAAAACAATTTTAGACGGTTCTGAATTACACACAAAAGATCGTCAAGATAACGTAAAAACAAATGTTGAGGAAAACAAGGACAGTGAAAGTGTCAAAAACTTGAAAGGAGCCGGGGGCATGAAAATGAACTTTGGTGGAGACGGTGATGATGGACAGGGTAAGTAGCTGGACAATTTTAGACGATTTAATTTAAAAAATTTCAGGATTTGAGTTGCTCGGTGTTGACGGTATTCAAGCAAATGAAAAAGATTCGATCAAAGAAAACAAGCGTGGAAATCAAGAAAAATCGGAAAATGCAAAGAATGTTGATATTTATAATCAAAGTAATGGCATAATATTAAATCTTAAGAAAATTATTGAGAGAAAGCCAGGGTATGCTAGATAAGGGAGTGACCAGTAGATGATATATAATAGTAGTCTTCCATGCACAAGACAGTGTTGCGCTGTAATTGAGAGAACTCGCTAAGTAATCATAAGGTGATAGTTATCATAGGGTGATAGTTAAGATCATAAGGTCATTGTTAGAAGATGTTGTGTCCTTAATTGCAAAAAGAATATAGCATGAAATAAAAAAAAATGCCTAGACGGCAATGGGAATATGGTATTTGTTTATTATGGGCTGAGCTCATTCTACGAAGTTCCATTCCATTTCCAATCCAATAAGGATTTCCATAACATAGATAGGTATAATAATTATATTTGAATTTCCATCAATATTTTCATACAAATTTAGATGGTTCTGAATTACACACTAAAGACCGTAATGATGAAATTGACACAAATATCGAAGAAAATAAGGACAGTCAAAGCGTTAAACACATTAAAGGAGCAGACGCGGTTCAAATAAAACCGGAGGGCAGTAATGATTATGGTATGTTAATGGACTCTCTTCAAGAAATTTTAAAATTTGTTTAGAAAAGCCTCAATACAAACTTGATGTTCCTCAATATCGCACACACCCTCCTAAAGTTCCTTCTGCTGCACTTTCCTCTGATGAACCTTCTGATACTCCTGCTGGTCCACCTTCTGAAAATAATGAACCAGTTCCTGAAGATCGTAAGAAAATTCTCTGACCATTAAAAATTAAATAAATTTTAGAACCCGATTTGGTCAATGTTAACGGATTTGAAGGTAATGAAAAAGACTCCAAGAAAGAGAATAAAAAGTTGAATAAGAAGGAAAAAGAAAATGCCAAAAATGTTGATATATACAATAAAGGTATTTCTCAAGATTATTTTACCTCTGGAATATTTATAAAATTTAGATGGTTCTGAATTACACACTAAAGATCGTCATGATGAGATTAACACAAACTTTGAAGAAAATAGTGATAGTCATAGTGTTAAAAACCTGAGAGGAGCAAGCCTTACTAAAATGAACCTTCCTGATGGTAATGGGGGTGAAGGTAGTTTCAAATTGTTAAACATGCTAAGGGTTAGGTTTCTGTTATTATTCGAAGAGGACATGAAAACAGACTTGGTATTGGGCATGGATTTTGTTATCCGTATCCGGATATACGTATAAAACGGATATAGGGATAACCCAAAATTAATGGGACGCAAGAATAGACTAAAAAGCGTGACTATCTGAAATCTAACAAAGGAATGACTAACACAGACCGTCTATAGCCTTATCACTTTATACTATAAAGAGTACTACCCAAAAATATTATTTTTATATTACTTTTGAATTCTACTCTCAACCCCATATATTTTTTTAATTACAGAACCATGCGATGATGAGCCTTCTACTGATTCACCATCTGGTCCACCTTCCGGCAATGAAGAACCACGTCAGCATAATATTCCTCGAACTCCTCGTCCTACCCGTGGTCCTCGTGCTTCTCGCACTCCTCGTGTCCATCAACCTGAGCAACAAAATCCTGTGACTGATTGTTCAACCGATCAACCAGAGACTGCAACTCGCGGGTCTGGCAAAGAATGCACTTTGTTGCAAAAACTTGCAAAACGTCTCGGTAGAAATGTTCCATGTTAATTCAATGAGGAAGGCAGAAGTAATGGAAGAATAAATTTACAAAGATAAGATAAATAAAATTATATAATTAAATTAAATAACTATATCTAAAGTAACTTCATATTTTAATTTCGGATTTATTTTAAATAAAACTATGGGATAAAATTAGATCAAAGTTGGAGGATTAAGAAGTATTTGAAGGGGTTAAAACTTATAGCTGTACCCCCGCCCCCTGCCCAGCAAACAACAAGCTTAAAAAGCTCTTTACAAAACGGCCAAATGAATAAAAACGCATAACCGCCCCCGAACAAAAATACTTAAAACAGCAGAAGACGGATTTTGTTGATTTTGGTGTCATTTGAATCAGCTCGACGACACTTTTGAATTCAAATTTTTCACCCAAAAATCAGCTTACTCCCTCCTATGGTTTTTTGATTTTCGGGGGCCTGTATCTCTGCAAGTTTTCGTCTCACGAAGAAAATTCTTGCATATTTGAACTCAGGTCGGCGAGATGAATCGAATGTTATAAACTTCGAGTTCCGACTCGGTGGGCCTATGCTAAAGCGACCTCTGGGGAGAGGAACAGGAAATTTTTAAAAAACCTCTCAAATTCCCCATCGTTTGGAGACGGGGATAAGAATAAACCTAGTTGCTACAAGTAAATCATTTAAAAGAAAGGAAACAAGTCCGCAGAAAAAGTCCGCAAAAATTGCACCCTCATCTTCAGTAGTGCCTAATCAAGTACATAAACAATCTTGTTAAATTGCCGGTTTCCGCAGCATAGTTAAATTTTTTTTATTATTTTATAATTTTTTAAATTTAATTTAATTTTTATTAATTTTAATAATTGATTTAAATTTTTAAATTCGTAGTTTGTAATATTTTTTGTAGTTTGTAAATTGCACTTAAAGACAAGACAATAGATGGGGGTTAGCGGGGAATTTTATAAAGGCATATACATCAACGGCAATTTTTGGCCGTCATATGAATCCCCAAAAATTGACAAAGGGCATTTAATGCCTCTCCGCTTCATTTTTAAATTAACGAGGGAATATTATAAACGAGAGGGCAATTTTAAAGAGAGATGGAGAGTAATTTTTAGAGGTTTTTGACAGATTTCTTCATAGCATTTTAATGTGTAGGGGGGCATTTAAGAGTGGTAAGTCGGTTTTTAAAGGCTGTTTGTTTAATTTAAAATTAAGCATTTTAAAATTTTTAAACACGGGAAATAAGGCATGTTTTGCCCATAATGTCTCCTAATTCCCAAACTATGAGGAGACATCTCCTTCTAGACATCTCCTTCTTCAATCTCCTTCTCTTACCTTGTTCTTGAATTTGACAAAAAATAGGTAAAGGCATTCATTTCTGGCATTTTATTTTCTAATTTTTAAATTGTTTTTATAAATAATTACCCCCAAATTATAATTTTAGGGTCAATTTGTTTCAAAATTTTAAATTTTTTTAAATTTTTAGTTGAAATGTTAATTTTAATATTTCTACTTGTTTTTGCCAATTTTCAAACAGGTAAATTTTGAAATGCTGGGAATCTCTTCCTAGACTAATAAAATCGGAAAAAATGTTTTTTAGGATTGTCCAAAACGGAAATAAATGGAACTGATGTTTTGAAGATGGCAAAATGCTACATGGATGCATTTTACCAAAAACCTTCGATCCCTCGTAAATTAAAAATTATGAATAAATTATTACCTTTAAATTTAAGGCGATGATGTTATTCCAATGGATGAAGCTATGAATCCACATTTGGCATTTTCTGAAAACTTAAAACAATGCCTCACGAGCATTGAAGCTATAGTAAAGCAGCTGGGCTATAGCTATTTCTCTCCTTTAGCTAGTGCAAAAGGTTATTCGGCGGCTGGGAGCGAACCAGCATCTTCAGTAGACCTGGATTGATGTGTTAGCCATTACACCACGCCGCCTACTGCACAGCCTTAGGAATTAAATAGCTATAGGCTTTACACTATTGTATTTAATTTTAATAGTCTGAACTAGGGTGGACAAAACCGTTTAATTTTGAAAAAACCGTATACCGTTTATGCCGTTTATCTGAGACCCGTATACCGTTCCGTTTAATTTTACCAAAAACCCGTTTACCGTATACCGTTTAGCTAAACGGTTTTGTCCAACCCTAGTCTGAACTTCGTAAAACTAATTTCAAAATTAAGGGAAAGCTGCGTGTTAGTTTATTTAAAAAATCATTTTTAAATAAATGGAACAATAAAAATCTTGAAAAACTGAAAATGGAATATGCTAGCGAATTTCAACAGTATGCCAAGCTTCCGAAGACTGAAGTAACTTTGAGAGAATGGATTAACGGGATGAATTTGGATAAAACAATTGGAATAATAAAAAAATGGCAGATTGATAATAAATTTAGAATGAAGAGTGAATTCGTTAAAGAGCGCGATGTCGAAACCTATGAAAAGGCAAATAAGGAAGAAGACAAGAAGCAAAAGAAAATAATGATAGACAACTACGTTAATCAGTATTCTAAAGAATTTGCTGCATGGGGAGTGTTAACAGAAGATAATATTAAAAAATTTAAAAATATTTATCTTAATGATATGGATGATCGATACAATAATTGGCGCCGCAAGCTAAGCCCCTATTCTTTGTTGCTGAATTCGGCCTATTTAAAGTTTGCCCAAATTCTAATTCAAAAACTTATGAAGGCGGTAATAATTCAATATAATCTAACTTCACTAAAGTTAAATTTCCCCAGCTAATAAGCGCGAGTATCCTTTTGAGATTCAAGGGTAACTTCCATCACATAGGGAGGATATCCTCACGTTAGTGAGAAAACTCACAATTTGGGAGGAATACCCCCATGATAGGGGAACAACCCTTAGTTTGGGACGAACAACCCTCACGTTGGAGGAATAGTCTTCGTATTTTCACCCTAAGTTGTATCTCATATGATATTAGCATTCATAGGATGATCCTCCTTATGTGCGGATATCCTCCCTATGTGATGGAGGACTATTACACCACTATTTATCAGTTAGTGAATAATAATTAAAAGTATTTTAAGAAGAAGAGTATAAATGGAAATCGTAATTTAAATGGAATGTTGAAACACATCAACACATTAATTTACACAAATATTACGATTGTAAAATATTCTTTTTTGAGGAAACTAAGTGATTATGATTCTTTTGATTGGCCGTATAAAAGTTTTGATAAAAGACTGAAACGTGTTTCAATTAGTTCAGGAGGTATTTTAATTTGTTTTACATACATAATAGATAGAGCAGTGTAAGAAATGTCCTGTTAAGTTTTCTTTGTTGCTGCTTAAATAGAGAAGAATGACAGCATTCGAGCTGCTAAAATTTAAATTGTATCTCTCAAATAACACTAATAATCTACTTATCCACCATTACTTATTTTTCTACCCTTAACTTAATATTCTACTCCATTTTTATACCCTTACTCTTAATTTCTACACATAATTTATTGCAATTGTTCAAGGTCATAAGATTTTACGCCCAAGTTCTATTACAACGTTAAATATTATAAAAGTGTTATAACTAACACTTAGTCTTGGATTAACTATTAGGGCCTTAATAATAACCAATACAGTGGCGACGATTATATATATACAGGGTGCGCCATAAGTAATTGGACACATGCTTTCTCTCATAACCTTATTAAAACACAATCAAATAAAATCGAAATACATTCAAATGATAGAGAATTAAATAAGGAACAAAAATAATCAAGAAGATTCGAAATGCCACCCTTGGCTTTGATACAGAGGCCAAGGCGTCAAGAAAAATTTTCGCAAATAGCACGCACCTCCTTAAGCGTAATTAAGTCCCACTCTCGGGTGAGAGAGTGGCGCAGAGACTCCAAACATGTGCGGCTTAGAACATGCCTTGACTCCAAAATAGACCAAAAAGAATAACCCATCGGATTCAAATCCGGGAAAATATTAACAATAAAAAAAGTTATAAGGATTTTAAAAGTGTCCAATTACTTATGGCGCACCCTGTAATTAAGTGTTACCAAGTCCGATAAAATCCCAAATTAAAACGTTATATAATTTAGCTGTAAGTGAAGGTGAAGTTCCAGAATTTCCAACAGTAAAACGTGTTTATCTATTTATTCGTCATGGAGAAAGGCTTGATAACGGTAAAGATGTGAAAAAGAAAGTTAAAAATACCTCTGGTCAACAATACAAATATAAAGGAAGGATGTATAATTTTGACAATTCCCCTTTAAATGAACTGGGTGTAAAAAGGGCGATGATTCTAAACAAAGTGTAAGTTCTCTTTAAAGATAAAAGATGTTCAGGTTTGAGAAATAAATTTAAGAATGAAATATTAAGATTTATAAAGGGAGTTGGGACTGTAAACCTAGAATGTAAACCCAAAGAAAAATCCACATTAAAAAATCCAAATCGTAATTGAAATAAAAATCCAATCATTTTTGTTACTCGCCTCAGAACCTTATAAATTTCAAATTGAATTTATGTATTAAAATTGATAGGCTTAAAAATTTGAATATTCAACACTTTTTTGCCTCTCCGTATGATCGAACAATTCAAACAGCTTTGAATGCCTTGGGAGATAGTCACAAAAATTATAGTAATGACGGCAATCTTGAATCTGAATTGAAAATAAAGATTGAACCCGGGTTTATGGAAAGCATGATTGACTGCATCGACAGAGATATTGGATATCTTGACTTTGATGAATTGATTGAACATTACAAACGCTTAGATGAAAATTACACACCAATTTTACAGAGAAATGAATTATGTATCGTTTACCAAAAGGTATTTTGCTATGTTAGAGCAAACCGTATGAAATTATAATGTCGCGAATATCTAGTCAGCGATAGGAAAGAAAAGTAAAGAACTAGGAAATGGGTAGCGGCTGGAAATAATAACAACAACAAAATTTGCAGCAGCCGATGGGTTGTTGGATGGCCGAACGGATTAGGCCGCAGTTTGGAGAGAAGGGGCCCTGGATCAAAGGACCAATTCCAATTTTTCACAATAAGATCATTTTTTTCCATCGACCTAAGTGTGAAAGAGTCTTCGACAGGATTAATACAGTAAATCAGACGAAAGGATCCAAAACCAATCGTGAAATATAGTAAAATATTAAATGGGACTTGATCCTTAGATCTCTCCGATGGAAGAGATCTACCCGACTAGATTGACCTACCAAATTCTTTGGATTTTAGCTTGCGCAAATGTTATAAAGTCTTTAAGAAATATTTAAGTTGTGTATTTTTTAAAATATTTATTCTATTTTTAAAGCGAGAAGCCCGAAAATCAGATATTGGTAGTATTGAACGTGCAAAATATGTTTTAAAGGAACTTGTGAAACGTGCTGACAAAGGAGATATACCAAATGCATTTGATAACACTAATTTGCGTGCTTTAATGGCTAAACATGAATATGAAAACGAATGGATATTACCAGGAGAGGAAAAAGCTGGTAAACTAGTTGATTTAATTTTATAAAGCTACTGAAGCCACCCATATAATAAATAGTCGGATGGGTCTTGATCTTGAGATCCTGAGAGTTTCGCCTTTACTATCCCAACACCGATTTATTTGCTTTATTTGGGATGACTGGAGGTAACTTCGACAGCCTCACAATTTAAATAGTTTGACTTTCTAATTAAGAACCCGAATATGAATGATCGAACGAAACATTCGTTGTTAATATGACTAAATAAAGTGTAGACTAGGAGATACATCAAGTGATATCCCTCTTAATCTCTCGGTCTCGACTCTCGTTTTGGTCTCGGGCTGATTCTCGGTCTCGACTCTCGGCTTTTTTTTGACTCTCGAGCATCACTACAAAAATCTTTAATTTATTTATAAGTAGGATAGTTAAATCTCTTAAAATTTTCAAAAAAATATTTCTGAAAGATATACTAAATTCTTACTTTAAGAACAAATAGTAATTGTTACACATGGATTATTCATATCTGCAGTTCAAAATCTAGTTGGAGGGGTTTTCACTTATACGCCTCAGGTATACTGACAGATAATTTTAAATTTGTTTTAATCTATTTAGACATCAATCACAAAAATTGTTGAACTTGATCAATCAAGGTAGCAAATAAATTCTTTAAATTAACCTTGAGTTTTTTCGATGAGATATGTCTTAAAAGCAGAGTTATAATGACAAGTACCTTTCGAACTATTAGAAACTAAAAACGCGAACCCCTAAAAATATTATACCTCTGACTTATTTTCAAATACTTTTTACTCAAACTAACAACATAAAACTACTTGATTATAAATCTATTGTTAATTATCTAGCTGATCTTTAGCTGACTTATTCAAATGATATTCTAAGTTTATTAAGAAATTCACATCCCTAATTATCACATAGAACAGGTTTGAGAATGTGCCATGTAATCGAATAGACTACTACTTAAGATCAAATCAAGCTTGAAAAATACTATATTCTTTATAAAATTTCTTTTCATAGTGCTTATGCAAGTCATCATGTATCTGTTGCAGGCTCTTCAAAAGGACACAAATATTTGGAAAATCTTCGTTTGGTATATTCTGGTGTTACCGATCATTTTGGTGAAGTTGATAAGAGCTATTTCCTACACTAGGTACTATATGCTTAATGATATATGGATAAATTAAAATTTCTAAAATAAATTTTCTTGATCTGTATAACAAAAATAATTTCGATTCTCGTTAAACAAAATTTTTATTAGAGACCACAACTCGGTCCGATCCCTATATTATATTGAAAAAATTATCTAAAAAATATTTATCCATGTATCAGTTAAGATTTTTTCAGTTCAATTTTCGGTATTTTTATATATTTTTTTAAATCTGAGTTAATTTATTTATAAACTCGACTTAAAAATGAGAAAGTGGATAGATTGGAATAACTAAAAAGTTGTTTCGGATTGAGTGAGGGTTTTAGTCAGTTTTTTAAAGTTTGCTTCGAATTGGTCCATACTTGATAACAATACCAATCCCTTTTCCAGCTAGGATTGTTTTTGAGGGAATTTATAAAGGTTTATATAAGAACTCAAACTTTAAAATTAACTCAGCTTAAATTATTTTACTTTATTTTTATGATTGGGATTGTAAAACTCGACTACTATGTAGTCTATGCAACACTATACATATTTATTATTAGTGATCCAATTTATGATCATTTACAAAAAAATTTCTTGACCACAAATGATCAGACTATGTATTTGTTCAGACTATTCACATGATTAACTATTCATTTGTTTTTAGTTCCGTGACATTTTTAATTGTTTTGATATTTTCTTAAACAATTTTTTATTGAACAATTTTATGGCTTTTAGTATAAAATGTTTAATTTAAATTTATTTTCTATAAATTCAGTCACCAATTTTAATTTAATCTTCTGCTTAATGACCAAAAATTAATACAATGTTGCTTCCACCATTAACGTTAATATGATTTGAACCATTAGCATCTTCAATATGCATCTAAATAATAATTTAATTAGACATGTTTATCAGTCTTTTTGGCAATAATTTTAATAATTAGTCAATAGCAACGGCTTTGACTTACAAAAATAGAGACTGCAAAATTACACCTAACTGAAGAAAAATTTTAACGTACCTAAAATATATGACAATAAATAAGAAATAATTGATATTGTGAAAATTTTTAAAGAGTTTATGATATATCCGTGTTGTAAAAATTAGATAGCTTGAAATTTCGGGGGTCTATAACTCGGCCATATGAAGTCGGTTTTCG